CGCCCCAGGAAAATTGTCTTCTTGTTTGCTTCAAACTGCTCCGGCCTTTTGCTGGGAGACCAGAGGCTATATGATCTTCATCCACTAACTTAATGCAGGAAGTGAAAATCTATCACATGAATTGCTGCCGCTTTAACTTCCGTCTTGCCTCTGCCTCTTCAGTCATTTAAGGCATTTGTCCGGCTCATCTACGGCGGATCCCTCACATTCTTCCAAGGGGAACTGATGCAGCTTTGGAGAGACGGGAACGCTGGGGTCTGTGAGTCGACTGCTTGAGAAGTGTTCATGTAGGTTCTGGAATGGGGCCTCTGTCATAGGTACTAATGCTGAAAGGAAGTGTCAAATTTTCCATAGTCCGAGCTTTCCAGAACTTGGTTGGCTGCTTGCCCCTGAGTGGGAATTTCTTTTCTAAAATAAATGATTTGGAACGTTCTTCTCTTGCCACCCAGACACACAGTTGCAGTTCCTCCTGCCTGGGAAAGTTAACTCCCCAGCTGTGATACGGTGCACAGCGTCGTCCTGGTTTAATCAGCTTCCAAAACCTCATTAAACCGCACATTAAAATTGTAAGGTGACAGCAAAGTTGATTCTTCCCCCGCCTCCCCCCACTTTGATGCCATTGTTGTTTTTTCTGGCTTTCCTTTTTGGTTCCTGGTTTTACCCCCTATTCTTTCTTCTTAGTTTTGTTTGGTCAAAATCTTTCTTTTAACATTTGGGTTCCCTTAGGCCTGTTCCACCTTGGTAATTCCTCTGCTTATTCTTTCTATTGTTTTCTCTCTCGAATTCAGAACACCCCTTTCCCATGAACCTGCTTTTTTTCCTCCTGCAAGGATTGCCGTTGAAGAGAAAGCTGAGTTGCCTGGAACTTCATGTTGCTATGCAGCCGTTTCACATCCTTTCTTAAGCTGAGGGAATGAATGATAAGATCATGCAGTTAGGCAGTGTATTCATCAGGGTCTCCAGAGAAACGGAACCAATGTGATATACATGTGATTCTTGAACAGTGTGGGGGTTAGAGGCACCGACCCCCCACCCTGCACAGTCAGAAATCTGTGTATAACTTTTTCTTTTAAGAAAGATTACTTATGGGCGCCTGGGTGGCTCAGTTGGTTAAGCGACTGCCTTCGGCTCAGGTCATGATCCTGGAGTCCCGGGATCGAGTCCCGCATCGGGCTCCCTGCTCGGCAGGGAGTCTGCTTCTCCCTCTGACCCTCCTCCCTCTCATGCTCTCTGTCTCTCATTCTCTCTCTCTCAAATAAATAAAAAATAAAATCTTTAAAAAAAAAAAAAAAGAAAGATTACTTATTGGGTGCTGGGTGGCTCAGTTGGTTAAGCGACTGCCTTCGGCTCAGGTCATGATCCTGGAGTCCCGGGATCGAGTCCCGCATCGGGCTCCCTGCTCAGCAGGGAGTCTGCTTCTCCCTCTGACCCTCTTCCCTCTTGTGCTCTCTATCTCTCATTCTCTCTCTCAAATAAATAAAATCTTAAAAAAAGAAAGAAAGATTATTTATTTGAGAGTAAGAGAGGGGGGCGGGGCGGGGAGGAGCAGAGGGGGAGGGACAAGCAGACTCCACGCAGAGCATGGAGCCAGATGCAGGGCTCGATCCCACGACTCTGAGATCATGACCTAAACCAAAACTAAGAATGAGAGGCTTAACTGACTCAGCCACCCAGGTGTTCCCTCTGTATAACTTTATGTTGACTGTATGTTGACTCTCCAAAAACTTAACTAATAGTCTACTGTTGACCAGAAGCCTTGCCAATAACATAAACAGTTGATTAACACATTCTTTTATGTCACATGTATTATATACTGTATTCCTTACAATAAAGTAAGCTAGGGAACATGTTACTAAGAAAATTGTAAGGAAAATACATTTATAATACTGTACTATTAAAAAATCTGTGTAAGTAGACCAATACAATTCAAATCTGTGTTGTTCAAGGGTCAACCGTGTGTGTGTGTGTGTGTGTATGTGTACAAAAGGGATTTATTATAATGCATTGGCCCGCAGGATTATGGAAGCTGGAAAGTACAGAATCTCCAGAGTCCATGTCCCAGTTTGAGTCCCCAGAGGCCAGAACTGCTGTAGAACCAGGAAGAGCTGATGTCCTAGCTGGATGGCCATGAGTCAGGAGAATTCTGTCTTACTTGGGGCAGGTCAGCCTTTTGTTCCATTCAGGCCTTCAACTGATTGGGTGAGACCCACCCACACCAGGAAGAGCAGTCTGCTTAAGGCAGTGCACCAATTGAAGTGCTAATCTCCTACAGAAACATCCAGCATTGTGTTTGCCCAACTCCCTGGGCACCCTGTGGCCCTGTCAGATTAACATCAAGGCAGCTCCTGGGCTGGGAGCTGTATGTTGTTTGACACGTACAGAAGCTGACCTCAGGTCAGAGCTGGGACATCATTTTGTAGTTTGACGCCTCTCTGCTCTTACGCTTCTGGTCATGCACCCTCTCATCATGTTTTGTACATGCTCTTTTTACTGGTCGCTGGTCAGTGGCCTCTCATGCATCACAGGAATTGCTCCAAATTTCCTTATTTTTCAAGTTCTTTTCCTAACTCCTACCCCTTTGCTTCCCATGTGAGATCTGGCCTCTTCTTTCGTGGACGGGAGAAACAGACTTGGACAGGTCTGTTAATTCGCCCAAAGTCACACAGCTGTTGAGTGGGCAAACGGATGGCATTTGAAGCAATGGGCCTTGTCCTTCCTGGGAGCCCCCCTGGGTGCCAGACACCATGCTGAGCGCTAAATGCCCTCGTTTCCCCAACGTCTCTAACCTTGATGCCTCTGTCCTTCCCATTTCTGGAAGGGTGTGTCCTGTTCCAAGCACCCAGCATTGCTCAGATCTTACTGACTAGTGCCTGCTTCTTAGTGCACAGGCCTCTGGCACTCTGCTCCTGTAATTTTCTTTCCTGTTTATTTTCCCCCTTTATATTTGGTATAAAACATCCTTCGCTCTTTCATCCTTAAAAACTCTCCCTTGACCCTGTGTCCCTCTCAAGTTATTACTGATCCCTTCTCTTCCTTTTACTCCCCATTCTTTATTTTTAACTCCCAATAAGTCCTCGGCCTGCTGAGACCCAAGCTGCTGCTGCTGTCTGTCCATCCACTATTCTTGGCAGAGACCTGGAGAGCATCCTGTTCAGTCCCGTGTCGTGACTGCTCTGCTTGACTCCACAGCATCTGTCACTGCTGACCATTTCTTCCCCCAGGAACTCTCGTTCCTTCTCTGCTCTTGCTCAGCTTCCCCCACCTTCCGTCCGGCCCCTCCGCCGCGGTTCTCATGCTTGACTGTGCATGAGCATCACCCTGAGGGCGCGTGGCACCCTAGGTGGCGGCCCCACCCCAGGGCTGCCGATCCAGCAGGTCTAGGTGGGCCCCAGGGCTTTGCATCTAACTGGACTCCAGGTGATGCTGCGGCTGCTCCAGAGACCACACTTTGACACTGATGTTGCAGGTTTTCCAGAATGTTCTCTCATTGTGAGTTCCCCTTAGTGTCATCCTCTCTCATGGATTCTGATGTCATTTATTTTCTGAAATTCAGTCTCTCATCTCCACATCTCTCTGGTCTGGCAGGTAGATGTCCTTTGAGATTGTCTTCAGTATTTCTTGGAAGGGTACTTTTGGCATTTGGGATGTGACGGTTCTCTGCTGAGTGGGATGGTCCTGTGCCCCGAAGGATGTTTGGTTCCACCCAGTCACTGGAACAACCAAGACAACCCCCACCCCTGCACATTTCCAAATGCCCCTGGGGGTGTGGTGCTGTCCCTGGTTGGGAAGCTCACTAGGTTCCCCCATCCCGCACCTCCTGTATCCTAGCACATGCCTAGTCAATCAAGTGGAGACCTTGCCCTTCTACCTCAACCTTCCTCCCTTTTAATTGGTTACCAAATTCCATCCATTTATTTCTAAAATAGCTCTTAATTCTGCCCCCTCTTCTGTAGTTTTAAGCACAGGTTTTTGGTTTTTTTTTAATTAATTAATTTATTTTTTAAATTTCTTATTCTTATGTTAATCCCCATACATTACATCATTAGTTTTAGATGTAGTGTTCCATGATTCATTGTTCGTGCATAACACCCAGTGCTCCATGCAGAATGTGCCCTCCTCAATACCCACCACCAGGCTAACCCATCCTCCCACCCCCCTCCCCTCTAGAACTCTCAGTTTGTTTTTCAGAGTCCATCGTCTCTCATGGTTCGTCTACCCCTCCGATTTCCCCCGCTTCATTCTTCCCCTCCCGCTACCTTCTTCTTTTTTTTTTTCTTAACATATATTGCATTATTTGTTTCAGAGGTACAGATCTGAGATTCAACAGTCTTGCACAATTCACAGCGCTTACCAGAGCACATACCCTCCCCAGTGTCTATCACCCAGTCACCCCATCCCTCCCACCCCACCACCCACTCCAGCAACCCTCAGTTTGTTTCCTGCAATTAATAAGCACAGGTTTTAACGTCTGGCTTCTTGACAGGAGTTCAAATTAAAATCCTAACTTGGCCTTTTAGTAGCTTTATGACCTTAGGCAAGCTAACTAATCTCTCGGAGTCTGTCTCTTCAATCCATAAAAAGAAGATAACTCCTTCATAGCGTTATTGTGAGGATTGGCAGTGAGTACTAAGCACTTTTGCCTGACACAGACGGGCCTGGCAATTCCCACCTTAGACCAGTGCAGGGGCCCCCTGCCTGCCTCCAGTCTCTGTGCCCCAGCCCTTGCTGGGCACCGCCCAAGGAGCTTTTACAAATGTAGCCTGGCCAGGCCACTCTCTGCTTAGGAATCTTCATGGATCCCCATTGCACATACAGTTAAACTCCTTAGCGTGGCCTACAGAGCTCTTTGGAAATACGATTCCAACCCAGTCTTCCAGCCTTACTCTTGTCTGTCAACCTGCTCCCTCCGCTCACCACCCCCCCAACCCCCCACCCTGCCAGCTTGCATTCTCTCTCTCTCTCTCAAGGACTCACTGCCCCCCCCCCCCCCCGCCCCCTTCACATCCCCATGTTTCTTCTTTGCCTAGGAAGGGCCTGCTCCTTCTAGGCCGGCTCGAATGTCCCTTTCTTTTTGGGAAGTCTTTTCCCTGTGCCTCCTTTGACCCTCGGCTCCCATTGTGGGAGGTGTGTGCCTGTGTTTTCGCGTGTGTGTTGTCTTTAGCTGATTTCCAGTTTCTCCTTCACTTGCTGAGTGTGATGTGGTCAAAGGAGCACAGGCTCTTTCCCACGACACACACCTCGGGCTGCATTCTGACTCAGCCACTGTGGAGGCGTGTGACATTGGCACGTAGCCCCTTTGTTCGTGAGTGGTGTTTGGGTTCTCCTCTCTGCCTCCCTGGGTCAGATGAGATCACATCATTAAGACACCTGATACATTTCTCAGTGGGGAATCATTTGGCAAAATGCCCCCCGGGGCTCTCCACTGCCCTTAGTCCGAGAGGCACTAGGCAGGGCCATTCCAATTGTATTTGTTTTCTGTTGCTGACATAACTAGTTACTGCAAACTCAGTAGTTTTGACAACACAAGTTGATGATCATCTTACAGTTTGGTAGGTCAAAAGTCAGACACAGCCTTATCCAGTAAGGGCAGGGTTGTGTCCTGGAGGCTCTAGGGGATAATCAGTTTCCTTGCTTGGTTTGGGTTGTTGGCATACTTTACCTCCAGGAGGTTGTAAGACTGAGGTTCCCGTTTCCTTGCTGGCTGTTGCCTGGGGCCACCCTGAGCAGATAGCAGTCTGTCTCAGGTCCTTGCGTGGGGCTCCCTAGAGCTCAGCACCAGGCATGAGACATCACATCTCATTCCGCCCCCTCTGACCAATCACATCCATAAAGGCCCTTTTGCCATGTGAGATAACATATGCACAGTCCCGGGGACTACAGTGTAGACATTTTGAGGGGCCCTTATTCTGCCTGCTACACCTATCATGCCTCTAAACTCTCTGAAATATCACTGTGAATGTTATTCCCTTCCTTGATGATCCTGTGGTCGTTGTCTGCCAAAGAATCCTTTGTTTCTGTGATACCAGACAGCTCTTCTTGCACACAGTGAGCGAGGTAGTTGTTGGTTGTTTTTGGTAGCCCAGATCTGGTCCTCCTCCTTTGGGTAATGGTACCCTGATCCTCTAGCCCCACTTCTCTGTGTTTGTGAGGTGGTACTTAGCCGGCCGGCCAGCTCAGGGGTGGTTGGTGGGCCCTGATGACACAGCTTAAGAGTGATTGGGCCAGGGATGGGGACCCGCCCCACACCAGGCCCCTGAGACATTGACCTGGGACGTTTGCTGGAACTATTGGGCAGGAGGCCTTTCTCCTTCCAGTGGGACAGACGATTGGATAGAAAGGCAGCCCAGAGATGGAGGTGGTTATCTTGACATCACCAGGAGAGGGAAGAACCTGCCAGAGAATGAGGCCAACCTGGAAAATCAAAGCAGACCTAAAAAATGGAAACTGATAGATTTCTGCTGACCTAGTTTGAGCCCCTGGATTTAGAATTTTCTGAAGCCTGATGTGTACCTGGACTTTTAAGTTATAACATCTCAATAAATTCCCTTTTTTGTCCTTAGCAGTGTTCAGTTGGGTTTGTGATGACTGTGTGTCCTGACTATAACCGTGAGCGAAGGTGGAATCCCAGAGCTGATGCGTTCAGATAATGGAGCTCTCTCTTCCAGGTCTTCACTGAGATTTTGTGGAAGGACTTTTTGCTCCTGGTGGTGCTTGTTATTATTTCTCCAGAGTTTTTCCGAGGATTCTCTGTTCCTACAACTTAGTGGAAGAACTTCTTTTTAGGGACACCTCTAGTTTCAGTGGTTGTTTATTCATTTTTTAAAAATTTTAAATGAATCATTCTGTGCCAAGCTGCAATAAGAAGGTGTGTGTGCTTCTAGGGAGATGTTGGCAGGACAGTGAAGAGCTATGCCCCGGGGACAGAGCAGGCTTTGAGCAAGGGACGAGGAGGAAGGAGCCCTGCCCGCTCCCCCTCCTGTCTGTTCCCCAGGCAGTCTGCTAGCCAGACCCAGTGCTCACAGACAGACCTAGAAGGACACTCAGCACAAGCCATAGCCGGGGATCCCCCGACATTTGAGGAAAACCAACCTGCTGAACGGGACGAGAAAATAACATGGAAGGAAACATGAATCAGATAAGTAGGGTAAGACTTGTTGAAAAAATATATGAAGATTCATGTTTATAGACACAGAGCTAGGCATCCCGGGAATTGTTAAACATTAAAAGGTTAAAAGGCTTTCTAAGAAATGATTTATTCTCAATCCAACTGAACATTTTAATGAGTCCTCCAAAAGCCTGCTAATATAATCTTGTCTATAACATGGGGCTTTTTTAATTCCCTTAGCCCCAGTATTATAAACAACTGTTAAAATATCCTTTATATTAATCCTTGTTAATGTATAATCACCATTTGATCCAGTGTTTTTGAGATGCAGGCCAAGATCCATCAGAGGGTGGTGAAACCAGTGTAGAGGGGTTCAAGCAGCACTTTCTTAGAGAGAGAGAAAGAAAGAAAGAAAAAAAAAAAGACAACTGAGCAGAACAGAGTAGAATAAAATAAAAAACATTAGTGTGTTTCACAAGTTGTAAGCAGAAATACTGTTTTGTGAAACTTTGTGATGTGAAATGTATTTCTTACTGTGGCTTGTGGCCCTAAAAGTTTGAAAAAACACCAGTCTAACTCGCTTTCTCCCTGTGAGGCTGCTAAATGAAACTGAATTTTTTCCTTTAGTGTTTTTGCAGAATACATTATCTTGAATAATTAAATACTAAAGCAAACAAGAAACACTCATGCAGATTTATTTTTGCCATTTCCTCAATAGGTTCAACTTTGAAAAGCAGAACCAACAGAATGTGTAAATGATGCAGGAACTTTGTCTCCTCCTTCTAAGTGCTCATTAGCACGGTCCAAGAATCTCTCCAAGTGAGGGTCAAGAAGCTGCTTCTAGCTTCTAAAGTACATCATTCCTTTGTAACTTAATGAGGAAACTAGCCAGCAACTAAGTAACCTGTCAAGAATTTCTTTCAACCTAGATTTCCAGTTACAAAATATCACAAAGGGACATTTAGAATCACTCTAGCCTTTTTAGAGATGCTTGTGATAAACACTCATAGTATTAATATTTCAAGGAGGACATGAGTAAAAAAATTACGAATAACATTTTAAAACAGATTGTCAATAAAGGATCGAGAAGCCATAGCATATACAAGGAAGAATTTGGAAGGTGAATTTTCGGAAGTCATGTGTCTAGGATAGGCATACAACTTGTCTTTGCTGTGCAACGGTATAGTTATATTTATTCTCCTAAACCTAATACGCTGTATGAATCACATAGAATATGTTTAATAAGAGAAATTTCTGAGCTCAACACACATGATCTACATTTACACATGGAGACTTAACTGTCCTCTCTCGCTGCTTTCCCTGATCCCAGCCAGCTCATTTTACTCATCTTCTCTTGGAGCTAAGTTAGTTCTTTTTTTTTTTTTTTTTTTTAAGATTTTATTTATTTATTCATGACAGACAGAGAGGCAGAGGGAGAAGCAGGCTCCCAAGGAGCAGAGAGCCCGATGTGGGACTCGATCCCAGGACCCTGGGATCATGACCTGAGCCGAAGGCAGACGCTTAACCATCTGAGCCACCCAGGCGCCCAAGCTAAGTTAGTTCTTGATGCGTCCACTGCAGTGTGGGACTTGTAACGGGTGTGAAAGAGCCTCAGTGCAAGGGAGGGAGCGAAGCTCTAGCAAAATCTTGCTCCAATATGTCTAAAGCCAAAGTAAGTCAGTTATCTTTCATATCTGTTTTCTACAAAAGAGAACAGCTTAACTAATCCATAATCCCACATAACTGTTACTTTTATAATACATTACATTGTGTGTGTATGTGTGTAAGTACAATTATTTTTAACGTCCTGTTTGGTATTCTGTTCTCACTTAACCCATTGCCTTCTTCCTTAGTATGCCTGATTATCCATATTGATTTTGCTGCCAGTGTTTGGGCTCTTCCATTTTAATAAAAAAGGAAATACAGCTAGATACAGATGCTCATGTTATTTGAACCTATTTTTACTCATCGAAACAGTGCTTCTAAGTCCTAAATAAAGCAGCAGCCAGTCTTGCCTTATTTACTACTGAAATAAATCCCCCCTACCAGCCTTCTCAGAACCACGTTCTATTTCCAATCCATATTATTCCTTGGGCTATTCCACTTAGACTGGTCATTGGAAAAACTATGATTTGGAATCCACACTTCTCACGGTATCGTGTTGGTGACCATTGTGATGGCAGGGCCTGGAGTGGCTAAGGGCCTTCGTGTTCTAGTATGATGGGGGGCTAGGGAGTGCCCCTTTGTCTTGGCTTGAAGGGGTAGCTTGAAGGAGTTGAATCCCAAGCAAACCCTCCAGTTAGCCCTGCCCCAGGTACAATGTCGAATGTTTCCCTCCCCCAGTACCTTCACCTTGACAGGTGTCTAGGGACCTCCTCTTCTTGAAGAAGCTTTACGTGTGTTCAGGACATTAAAACATAAGTCAGAAAGGGACAGATTCCTGGGCACAGACAGGTGCCCCCTAATGGTGGCTGGAGGTGGTTAATGCATGGCAGACAACCTGGTATCAGATTGTGGCAGACACTGTTGGTTGTCTCTCAGTAGAGTAGTCCAGATTCCCTTTCCTCTCATACCCTGTTAGAAGAGCTCTCTACCCACAACAGAGACTGACTATGTCAGATGTTCCCGGCCTCCACTGCAGCTAGGGGAGAGAATGTGACCTAGTCCTAACCAATGAGATGTAAAGGGAAGTCTGCTGAAGGGCATCTAGGAAAGATTTTCCTCCCCACTAAAAAGAAATATGCACAAGAACCCTTCTTCCCTGTCTCATTTCATTATATCTTTGGATGCAGTCGTATGAGGATGTGATGCTTGGAGCTGTGGAAGACATCTTGCATCCATGAGGTGACAAGCCTAAAAACAAAACAAAACAAACAAGCAAAAAAACAGTCCTCTGAGGTAGGAAAAGAGAGAGCCTGGTTTTTAAATGACATTAAGTTGCCAAACCAACTTTTCTTTCTAAGGACATCTGATATAAGATGATTAAGTATCTCTGTTGTTACATTATCTTTAGACAGGTGTGTTACTTACAGCCAAAAGTGTTGTAAAAAGAAGTCAATGAGAAGGACATCCAGGGAGCTCCCCAGCCCTGGTGGTGTTTGGTGCCCGCTGGGGCAGAGGCTGAGGATGGTGACTTAGCTCCTTAACCAAAGGCCCTGTCAGGTATAAAGGCCCCATGTCTTGGGTTCTTCCCCTTATTCCTGTTGCCCTCCTAGTCTCTGCCCCCAACAGCCTGGGAAATCTTTTTCTAATCTGAGTGTATAAAAAGCTGGCCCATGTTCATCCTGATTTTTCTGTGCTCTGAACTTTCTCAGGGCCTACGCTTGTAAAGCTAAAAATATCCCTTTATTCTCCTTCCACTGTAGCATTTTTCAATTTACAAAACAGCCTCGATGCTTAAATGGGGAAAAAGCCAACAGGACATGTATATGTTGTAGTGGAAGGCAGAGCTGGGGTGGGGGTGGGGAGAGGATAAAGTAGGTAGAAGGGAAAAAACCAGAAAACAATATCAGTTAATATTTTAAGCCTTGTATCCATTCAAAAAACTCTAGCCTTTTTACAGATGCCTGTGGTTAACACTCGTAGTATTAATATTTCAAAGAGGACATGGGTAAAAAATCACAAATAACATTTTAAAACTTTTCAACTTTGTTCCTTTGTGATCTGTCAAAAAGGCAAAGCCACTTTCAAATCCGATACATAATCTTCATCCATTTAAGTATTTTCAGAGCCAAGATCTATGTGCTAGGGATAGAGCAGTGTACAGAAAGAAAGAAGTTTCTGCCCTCGTGGAGTTTACATTTTAGAGGGGGAAGACAGACCACAAGCAAGTAAAGGAAAACGGAGAGTCTAAGAGGATGATCAGCATGATAGAGATAGGCGGGTGGATTTGTAGTTTTCAGTAGAGATCAGGGTTCCTGAGAAAGAGAGATGTGCACAAAGGAGATAAGGAGGCAGCCAGCCATATAGACACCTGGGGTGGGAGCATCCCAGCAGAGGGAGAAGCTCAGGCAGGAGATGGCTCAGCATGGATGAAAACTGTTCAGGTCAGTGTGGCTGGAATGGAGTGAACAAGGGTGAACTAGGAACAGACCAGGTTCCAGAGCTTCACAGGAGCCAGATGGGGGAGGGCCCTGCTTCGGACCAGGGAAGCTTAGACAATGCCTCTTCACCAATGCCCTTCGGAATGCCTGGCTGGCGGATGCCGTGTCCTGCAATTGGTTGTCGGAGGTCCCCACCTGCCTGGGTTGTTCTATACCACCGTAGACAGCAAAGCAGAATAGGACTGCTTTTAAAATTACCTGCAAGTCATATAGTCAATGTGTGTGGATTTCTGGAAAACCCTGAAAATTCAAAAGGCATTCCCTCACGTACCAGGCAATGGAATTTTGTTTGGCTTCATTTGGACTCATTTTGTCAGTGACATTTCCCCTCCCCAAAGGCAACAGTGACATAAAATATTTGGGGCTGTTTTAAAGGAAACCAAAATTTGCATTTTAAAAACTTGGTAAATAACATTTGATCAAAACTATACATTTATTATCAGTTATTTTAAAAGTGCACCATATCGCCTGGCCTCTCCAGCACCTTCAGCTCTCTATGCATTGATATGGCATCTCCATTACCTATGAGAGCTTCCTTTCGGGTAACTCTTCTCCCTCCCTCTCAGGGGAACGGATTTAGCAAGTAACCCTGTTGTCTTCTACCTGGTTCGTTTCTCCCTTTGCATTTTTTCTCCTTGGGCCTTTCTCTTGGGCATGTCGGTGGCAGCTGGAGGCTCTGACTAAAGAAGATGGGTTCAGGTCTGGGGGGCAGTGCTCATTCTGGGGAATCGCTGAGAGAAGCTAGAGCTCCATTTCTTTTTTTTTTAAAGACATTTATTTATTTATTTACTTATTTATTTATGAGGGAATGAGAGAGAAAGAGGAGTGGCAAAGGAAAAGGGAGGGGGTAGGGAAAGAATCTCAAGCAGACTCCCCACTGAGCGTGGAGCCAGAGTTGGATCTCATGACCCTGAGATCATGACCTGAGCAGAAACCAAGAGTCGGATGCTTAACCAACTGAGCCACCCAGGCGCCCCTAGAGCCTAATGTCTTTTCCCATCGTCTGTTACTGACCCATCATGGAGTCTCTCTGAAATTTTGACCTGGTGTGAATTCCTTGAACTGACAGGGTTTCTACAGGATGGCCTGTGTCTGCCCTTATCAGGACCACTTCCGCCTTCACTCTGTCTCGGTAGATGGACGAAGGATTTTATGATTCCACCACAGTCTCTCAACTCGGTTACAGGTATTGTGTTCCAGTTAGAAGTGCCCACCGGTTGCTCATCAACTGCATACTGAATCTGGATCTTCTTGAAGAGAGGTACGAGTGTGCGGACTGGGACGATGGTATCATTCTTTTCCCGAGTAGACATTTATGGAGTGCCTGCTGTGTGTTGGTCACAGGAGCTGCAGGAGATAGAAAGCCAAAGAAAAAAATTCCAACCCTGGAGAAGCTCATGGGTTTTTTGTTTAGCAATATTGAAAGGATTCAAAATATTTACTCTCTAGCTCAGGGGTCCCTTTCGGAAATTTCCTCGTGGACTGAGGATCTTTATGTCCTACTGGGGCCAGATGAATTCTACCTTTATGTCCTACCGGATGTGAAGGTGGCTGCTTAGGGTAGGGATGCTGGTGATGATCTAGAAAGCTGAGGCCCAGAGAAGGCAAATGTGACCCCCGGCCACCTGGTGGCCTGGTGATGGTGTTGGGGAGGGACACTGGGCATTGCAGGCTGGGGAGCAGGGCGGGGGAATGTTTTGGGGGATGCCTGAATTCCAAAACAGAAGAAAGTCTGGATTTCTGTGAAGCAGGAACATCTCAGAGGAGATAGGGAGGGAAGGATTCCAAGTTCTCAGATATTCGGGAAAAGAGAAAGCTCTCTCCTTTCCTACCCCTCTCACCTGCCATGCTTCCTCACCCCAGTACCTGGAAGGAATGCAGATTTCTGTCCATTCTGGGGCCTAAGGACAGAACTAAAGAGTTAGTGTAATGTACGTAATGTGCTGAGAACCATGCCTGGCACAGAGTGAGTGCTGTATAAATATCTGTCTATTGTTGTGATCCTGTTGTTTTAGTCCCCAGATGATCAGACAGATGGACCTGGACTTTTCATTTGAGCAGCCATTAGCGGTGGGAGTGCTGGTCTGAATTCTATGCAGGCCACTTTTGGGCAGATGGCCCCTCTATGGGCAGATGGCCCCTCTATGGGCAGATGGCTCCTCTATGGCCCATCTCTACACCAACCCTTGCTAATGTCATGTGACTAGATCCCTCTGCTGCCTCTTTTGAGAACTTCCTTTCTGAAGTGTAGGAGGCTGGGGGAAGCTCCCAAGCCCCATTCCTTCCTCAGAGCAGGACAAAGTGGGGACAATGAGGCATCTGCCATGAGCAGTTCTGGTTGGCATCCATGTAGCAAAGAGCCACAAGGACACCTCGGATCCAGAGGTGCAGTGAGAGGAGGCATGACTCTGTGAGGAGGTGAGGAGGATGGAGGTTCCTGTCTGGAGAGGGGGCTCTGGAATATTCAAGCATCCAGAAATCCCAACTCACATCCCTGTTGGAGAGCATGCCCCATTATTATGCAGAGGGTGGCTCTTCTCATGTTCTTAGCAGTGTGGGAACTGTTCACGTGGGTTAACCAACCCTCCTGAGACTTGCTGGGTTCCTTGAAGGCTCCCAAGAGTTTGTCTGGAAATTGGATGGAAAAAACCCATAAACCAGGTAGTTGGGGGCTCCCCTGACAGTAGGGGGCTCCAGTCACCCATATGACAAATGTAAAATAAATCTTAAGGGACTGTCATTATAGAAAGTGCTTAAAAAGTAAGACTGGGCCATTACAGTATCCAGGATCTACCAGATAGCTAGCATGAGATAATTAACTGAAAATGTATAATACTATCATCATCATTTCCAGAGGGTTTAATAAGTGCCAGACTCTGTACTGAGTGCTTAGTTATCTCGTGTCACCTTCCTGGCAACCCTGTGATGACAATAATCATGAGTGACTAGATAGCCACGGTCACTCACCCAAAGCCACACAAGCTGGCTTCAGCCCCAAAGCTGTGTTCTTAGAACCATTCGAACTCACTGCTTGGGAAATCATTAGTTTTCCTTATGCATAGTCACAAGGGTTCTGGAAACCAGTCACGCCTATTAGACGAAAGCTCTTGTTTTGGACTTTGAGGGGCAGGGAGAGAATATTTATCGTAGTCTGAGGTATAAGGAAAAAAAGGAAATTGGTCTCATGTCTTCTGAAATCACATGTCAAGTGGTCAGATCACTTCAGCCACAGTGGATTTTGGTCTCTGCTTGGCCCGCCGCAGGTGCGCTTTGGGGGTCCATGTTGTCAGACCCAAAGCTCCTTTCTCCTCTCTTCCTGGTTCAGGATTGGGCCAGGAGGCTGGGGGCGCAGATTCCAGCCAGCCCAGGCTGCTCTTGGGGACCCCGGGGCGGGCCCTTCAGCCTCCTCCACCTTAGCCTTTTTGTGCGTGAAGTGGGGGCACCGCACGGCCTCCCTCAAGCTCAGGTCGTGTTGCACAAGCATGCCACATCACTGTTCTCAGGAGGCTGCAGAGGGAGATTTAGGCACTCGGCAGAGACGTGGCTGGGTGCAAGGTCCACTAGGCAGCCTGAGTGAGGGAACGGGCGTGCTGCTGAGGATGGAAAGCTCCACAGAGATCTATTTTTGAGACTGATGCAGAATCCCAGGCAGTGACGTGCCAGTGACTCAGCCCAGTAGGTGGAAGTGATTTTAAATAATGACAGTATCAACCGTCTTCCTCCTCCCGCGGTGTCACACATCACCACACACAAACTCAGCCCCGCACCCACTGAACTGAGTCAGCCACTCCGTGGGAGATCGAGAAGGCTGGAACGACCCCCGGGTGTCTCAGCGCATCCCCTCGAGCCGACAGGGTGAAGGCAGGCATCTGCTGAGCAGTGTCCTTTTCATCCCCCCAAACCAGGCCAGATGACCAAGGGGGAACAAAAAGGTGACTTTGTATGTCCCCCAAGTTTCAGCGGTCCTCTCAGAATGAAGTGAGCCGTAATGACAGCTGCCACCTTCAGGGAAGAGGACACGCGAGTTCATTAGAAAGGGAAGCCGCCCATTTCAGTTAGAAATCTCTAGCACTCGAGAGGGGAAGAAACTGCAGTAATTGGATTGGCAGCTTCTGATGTCTCTTTGTAGATAGAACAATAAAGGGGCATGAGCTCAGGAAAGGGGGCACAGGTCATGCCGGGTTTGGATCCCATGAGTTCCTCTGTGATTCACTGAGCTCAAACGGTGCCCAGCCACCATGGCTGCCTCGTGTTATCCTTGACCCCGGGCGCCCCCAGAGGCGAGGGCTCAATCAGGGACTTTACTGGGACTTCTGGAGGCTTGCAGGGACCAAACAAAAATCAAAGCCCTTGAGCTAGCAGTGGGAGGAGGGGAGGGCAATTTCTTAGGAGCAGCCATCTAATGAAGAAGAATGAGATGGGAAGGGTTGGAGAGAAGAGTCCGGAGACAGAGTCCAGCTCGTCAAAGGTTGCTGGGGTTTGAAGCCTTGGGCTGCATCCCTCAGCTTTACTCGGGCCGAAGCTAGAGGCTCCAGATGGGGAGCAGGGATCAAAAATGATTTATTTTGTGTGCATCATTTTAAGGAACATTCAGTGTGTACTGTCAGGACCAATACAAATTAAAAATAGGTTTGATTCTCTGCTGAAAATAAAGGAAAAGATTTCCCTTTCTCTCTCTTTCTTTCCTTTCTCTCTTTCTCTCTTTCTTTCCTTTCTTTCCTTTCTTTCTTTCTTTCTTTCTTTCTTTCTTTCTTTCTTTCTTTCTTTCTTTCTTTCTTTCTTTCTTTCCTTTCTTTCTTTCTTTTCTTTTCTTTCTTTCTTTTTTTCCCCCAAGCACTGACTTTAGGACACTTGCCATTGAAAGTACCTTCTCTCATCTTTGAAAAATACACAGATCATTTGGAAGATGAGATTGGCATTTTGTCAGCGCTATGGCCCACGAATGTCTTCCTCCTGGGACCTGGGCACCATCTCTTTGAAATGTGAACATCAGGGGAGATGGTGTTCTGTCTCTCAGCTTAGGTGGGAGGGTAGGAGCCTAACTTCAGTGGGCACCTCCTTCTGAACTGCAAAATAACATCCTATCATAAAGTCGGAGAAGGTTGTTTCTCCCCTGGATAAAGCCAATTAGCTAGCGCAGAAGGTCCTCGATTACCAGGTAAAGTTAGGATGAACTCTGTGTGACCAGTGGTGCTGTGAAGTCCCTTTATTTGAGGACTAGTCATGGTTCATCCTGAGAAAATGTATGGAATGGGCATCTGCTTGGTCCTATGAAAGAGTGAGCTTGCTTGCTTTCTCTGCAATTCCTAGTGGATTGTCTGTGCTGTGCATTACACTCTGGTTTAATGCTTATTCAGTAATAAAACTGATTTTGTTCTCTATACGCCCTTTGTGGAGAGAATTTGTGGGTTGAAAGAAGATTTTGGTTTTGATTGTATTTCTCCAGCCATCCTCACCTTATGTCTGTTCTGTGGCTGCCTGCGCTCAGTCCATATTTATAAGTACAATATATGTCACCTTGCCTTTTTATAGCTGAAGTTCTCTTAAAGGACCCAAACGTTTGCTAAGAGATGATTTTAAAGCTCAATGAAGGAAGGAGCAGATAAAACTACTTCCATTTTATGGTGGTTGCAGAAGGTGCGGGGCTTGTCCGAGTTCATGTTGACTGGAGAAAGGTAAGAAGCGTTAAATCCCAGGACACTCCGTATTTGCTGTCCTGTCGCCCAGCCCCTAGGACCCCATACCACTTGATTTTCACTGTTATAATATTATAATTTTCTTTTCTAATCATCTGTAATAGTCACATATCCCCCAAGTTCCTGCTCATGATCTGCATCATCACATTTGATGAATGGTTAAAAATGCAATTTGCAGGGCGCCTGGGTGGCTCAGTCTGCCTTCTGCTCAGGTCATGATCCCAGGGTCCTGGGATCGAGACCCAGAACGGGCTCCCCGCTCAGCGGGGAGCCTGCTTCTCTCTCTCCCTCTGTCTCTCCCCCCTGCTCGTGCTCTCTCTCTCTCACACAAATAAATAAATAAAATCTACAAAAAAAAGCAATTTGCTCTCCTCCTAGATGTATGTGCAAGAGAAATAAGTGCATATTTCCACAGAAGGGCTGGTACAGTAATGTTCATAGCAGTTTTATTCATGATAGCCAGAACTGGAAACAACCAAAACGCCTATCAACAGGTGAATGGATAAAGCAGTTGTGATGTGGGCGCCTGGGTGGCTCAGTTGGTTAAGCGACTGCCTTCGGCTCAGGTCATGATCCCGGAGTCCCGGGATCGAGTCCCGCATCGGGCTCCCTGCTCAGCAGGGAGTCTGCTCCTCCCTCTGACCCTACCCCCTCTTATACTCTCTCTCTCTCACTCTCTCTCTCAAATAAATAAAAAATAAAATCTTAAAAAAAAAAAAGCAGTTGTGATGTATCCATACAATGGAATACCACTCAGCCACTGAACTCAACTGCTGATAACATGCAATAACATGAGTGAGTCTCAAAAACAGTCCACTGAGCTAGAGAAGCCAGACACAAAAGAGCACACACTGTGTGAGTCCGCTTCCATGGTGTTCTGTAATAAGCCAAACCAATCTCTAGTGATGGAAAGCAGCTCAGTGCTTACCTGGAGTGGGAGTGGGAGAGGCTGACTATAAAGGGGCACGAGGGAACTTTCTGGGATGGCGGAAATGTCCTATTTCTTGATTAGGGCAAAAGTGGCCCGGGTATATCCCTTTATCAAAACTCGAACTATATGCATAAAATGGCTGTAGTTAACTGTAAATAATTCAGCAAATTTATTCAAAAAATAAATTTTTCTTTGTGCACAAAATGTGACATAAAAACACAAACTGCAGTTTGCTTTCCCAGCTGTGGGGACTTGGTTCGCAGGATGCTGGGACGCCGCCCCTCTGCGGAACCAGCTCCCAGCCGGCGGCAAGATTATGCTGGTCTGTCCCCATCTCCGAAGGGCTGTAGACTGAGGCGGGCTCGCAGTGTCGCGCAGCTGGGGGTGGTGTGTTCCCAGAGCTCGTCTCCAGGGGAAGCGGCTCTGTCAGAGGAGCCCACGGCTGGCAGGTTGTGATGATCCTGCGGCTCTTACAGGAATGAAAGGGCCGTGACTCACGCGTCACCTTGATGGGAATAGTAAGGGCTCCCTTCTCCACTCGAGCGGGGAGCAGAAAACTCTCTCTTTCAATATTACTTTTTTTTTGGTAAATGTCATTTCAGCTCCTCCCCACTGACTCATTTGAGAGACATACCTGTCAGGCCTTATATTGGTTAAGTCCAATCCCTCCTCGGAACAAGACCGTGTAGGGTGCAGGGAAATCACCAAACTCTCCATGATTACCAGATGCGGAGGGGAAACCCGCCTCTCTCTTGGTTCCGTGAGCCAGCGACATGGCCCTTCTCGGACTGGTTTTCCCACCCTCGAGGGGCAGGCAGGGGAAGACGGGCCTGAATTGTAATTCGTTGTTTTATAAAATGGACATCTCGAGGCCTGCAGACACCAGAATGGGATCCTAGGGAGATTTTTTAAGAGGCTTCTGTGGATTCATCGGATTTCCATCTGCCTTAGGAAGGCTTGGGGGAAGAAAGAGGTGAAGCAGAGACAGGAGTGATCACATCCAAGCCTGGGGACAGGATTTCGGGCTGTGGCCAGAAGCCAGCAGAGAGGCGTGGCCCAGACTCGCCCTCGAAGCCCTTGGAAGGAAGCACCCAGCCAACACCTGACGTCAGCCTCCTGGCCTCCAGACCCGCGGGGGGATACAGCTCAGCTGCTTGCGCTCCCAGCTTGTGCTACTTTGTGGTACTTTGTTCTGGTAGCCCGAGCAAGCTGGTACCAAAGCACGGGTGGGAAAAAGAGCCCGCGTGGGTGAAGAAAGGTTGCAAGGCCGTCGTAGCTCGATGTGTGGAAAGCAGGCCTCCACCATCCCTCTGGCTGGGACCTCCGTAGGGGAGTCTCCCAGCCCCATGTCCTCTGGCTGCCTGTCCCTATGGAGCTCACTTTCCACGTTGCTCATCTGGAACGTGGCTGGGTGGGGTGGGGAGAGCATGACGCCTGGCCTGCCCATCTCTCCGGGTGCTGGCGAGGAACAGAGGAGACGGTTTGAAAACGTCTTGTGAATCACATGCACAGGGTGTTAGATGCACCTTCTGTTGTTTCAGAGTTTCGACAGAGACCCCAAAGGGAAAGAGAAATATGTAGCTGCTTATCAATGCAGGACTCACTAAGAGCTTATGCAATCAGCTTTGAGACCTTCAGCTTGTCACCGACCTGGAGACCATAGAAGAAAAGGCTGGGGGGCGGGGTGCAGCACAGGACAGGTGGAGAGCAGCTCTTCAGCGTGGGAGCTATTGTGGTGTGAGGAGCTGCTTCTCCCCCTTGGCCTCGTACTCTCCCCACAATAAGCCTAGTGAGACTCTGGCTTCAGAGTGCCCACAGAATGCTCGACGGGTGCCCTCTGGAGTGGGAAGGACAAAGGACTGATACTTGAACCACATTTCAAATCACAAATGCAGAGCCTGGTTGGAGGAGCCCATGATGGCAGGACAAGGAGAGAGAGACAGGGTAGTGCGCTGCACTCGTGACCACAGGGCTCAGAGGAGAGCTTCTTGCAGCTGCATGAGGACCCCACAGAGGAGAGCTGCCACTGAGTTACCTTAAAAGGGACGCTTGCCCTGAAGGACCATCTGCAAGGCAAGGTGACCCCAGCAGTATCACTCAGGATGGGGCAGACATCAGAAGCCAGGGGCCAGGGACAGTTATAACTGGGCAGCTCAAGGAACATCCCCGATGTCTAATATTGCCTCACAGAGAGACCTCTGGGGAATCTGCAAGAGCTCCCTGTGGGAGAGAGTAAGCATTCTGGCAGGCCACACCCCTGGGTCCTGTCCTGAAACTACCCGTGCTGATCAAGTACTACGCTTTATCCCTCTCCCCTCCCTACTCTCAGTCTGGGGGTGCCAGAACAGTATTTGAGTGAGGTGAGAAATGGGGGAGAAGTACACCATGCTTTTCCTCTTCTGTTTAGAGTTCCTCAGCCTGAGTCAGTCCTGAGTTTTACATTGGTTGTGGGATTTTAGCTTTGATAGTAGACTGAATTGGACTTTCCAGTATCTGAAGAAGGTGTATTCACTAATCAGTGGAGTGACTGGAAAAGCTGTGGAACTTTTCTCAGAATTCATCCCGGGACAGGGAAGAACAACCAGAGAGCAGTTGCTTAAAGAAGCAGTGGTCAGAAAGAATCAAGATTTTTTTTCTGTTTGTACCATATTGCATTTTATTCCTTTTTTTTTTTTTTAAGATTTTATTTATTTGAGAGAGAGAGTGTGTGTGAGAGCAGGGGAGGAGAGGTGCAGAGGGGGAGGGGCAGAAGGAGAGGGGCAGAGGGAGAGTGAGAGGGAAAGGCAGACTCCCCACAGGGGCCTGACCCCAGGACCCTAAGATCATGACCTGAGGTTAAATCAGATGCTTAAGCCACCCAGGCGCCCTGCATCTTACTGTTTTAACAAAGAGGTTATAGTTAGATAAATGTTAACTTTGGAACCTCCTTTCCTGGGAATAAAAGGATCAACAGAGCTCACTCTCCTTATTGTAGCTAAATGAATATCCACATAATGGGCATGTCATTAATTTTACTTAGAGTGAATCCTGAATTAGCAATAAACATAGGTTTCCATTAAGGATTTCTATTTGCATTCAAAGAAGGTGAGTATTCCTTAAGTTGTACTTTGCATGACATTTGCGAGATAACTATATAAGATTACAATTAAGCGTTAAAGGTTTTTAAGCAACTTGAAATGCGTAGGAATGCATTAAATCATAAAATAGCATTAGAACAGCCTTATAGTGGGCGCCTGGGTGGCTCAGATGGTTAAGCGTCTGCCTTCGGCTCAGGTCATGATCTCAGGGTCCTGGGATCGAGTCCCGCATCGGGTTCCCTGCTCAGTGCAGAGCCTGCTTCTCCCTCTCCCTCTGCCACTCCCTCTGCTTGTGCTCTTCTGTCTATCTCTCTATCAAATAAATAAATAAAATCTTAAAAAAAAAAAAAGAACAGCCTTATAGTTTATAAAGGATCTGATGTATCTTGAGTACCAGAAATTCTAGTGCTTGAATCTGGTAATATATTACTCTTGGTGTTAATTAACACTTCTTTGGGAGTAACAGAAACCCAACTCAGACTAGCTTCTGAAAGAGAATGCATTGGTTCATATAGCCGGGAAGTCCAGGGGTGGATCTGGTTTCAGACATGGCTGGATGTAGGGCTGCTTCTCTCTTTCTCTCAGGTCTGCTAGTGATGTTTTGCTTCATTCAACAAACTTTCCCCGATATGGTGGGGAAAATGTCTCCCGTCCCCTTCTATCTCCCATGCTCAGCAACCATGGTAGAAAGTGAACTTGTCTCAGCAGTGTCCACAGAGCTATAAGCCCCAAAGACAACCCAGTCATATTCCACCCCGAACCAACCTCTTTGGCTAAGAGATGGGAAGCTCTGACTGGCCAGCTTGGGTCATGTGGCCATCTCTGTCGAAGGAGGCTGTCTGTCGCACAATGGTTGACAGTCCATTTAATGGACCTCACAGAATGGTCAAGAAGTTTTTAGAAGGGGATGGAATAGCATGCATGCTGCCTTAGCACATGACAAGCTCCGTTTTCTTCTTTATTCACAGAGACTATTCAGTTGGCACTTTCTAGGTCTGGAGTCGAAGTGACGTCCCTTTACCCCATGCCACTATTGTCTGATAGCACTCAGAGTCGACCTACCCATCTGAGCCCAAGTCATGGAGGGACTGGCCTGGAAAGAGATCCTATTTTGAGTATGTGTAGTTTTCTCCTTAAAGCATCAGGATTTATTTTTTAAATCCACCTGTCATTTATTTATACATTATTTATACTTGTTTTAAGTTTTCTGTGAAAACAACTCATGTAGTTTCCGTTTTCCTGACTGGCCCCCAATTGATTGAAACACATCCCTTTGAGACCGATTACACGTGTAGGGCTGGCTGTGAAAGGATGAAGTTTGTTCTTGGATCCAGGACACCTTTCCAGGCTCTGACTCCCAGATGCTTCTGGCAGCCCCAGGCTCCACACCACCCTGCCAGCCTTCCATTCTTTTCTCTCCGTCACCCACACTCCAGGGGCTGCGTTCTGCTGGGTGACTGTACCTGGTCATGGATGTTGGTAAGATCGCCCAATCCCCTAGTTTGCTAGCTAGTTGAAATGTTTCTCTCCCAGATAAACTACTTCCTTGGTTTAGATAAACATGCTTCTTAAGAAGGCCTTTAGGGAATGTCAGAGATGGAGGAAATCTCAGTCCCAGGGGCTAACTAGAGGCTTCCATGCACATAGACACAGTCATCTACTCTGTCCATGTGTAAGGTAACATGAGGGCATTGCGTGTTTCTTCCTCCTTTGACACCTTCCCATCTGGGCCGGTGGGAAGGTTAAAGCACAATCAGGCTAATGCATTCTAACGTTGGTTAGTATGAGAGAGCAAGGCTGCCAAAGCCTCAAAGATGTTATTTGTTAGAAATAGAACAAATCATTTTTAGCTGGTACAGATAAATTAGTTTAATTTTCTCAAGCAGTTTAAACAAAATTTGCTAAGCTTTGTTTTGAGTACTTCAATGCAATTTGAACTATGAATTGTGTGTAACTGTTGTACCTTTGGTCATGAACAACTACTCCTCCTTCCCCTTTCTGTGGAAAAGGATTTTATCTTCTGTGATTCTTTCAGATCCCCCATAGCATGTCTATTTTCATGCTCAGTTCCTAAACCTACAATTTATTCAACCAATCCAGTGCTTTATTTTTTTTTAAAGACAGTTTTTTTTCCCAAAGACTTTATTTATTTATTTGACACAGAGAGAGAGACAGCGAGAGAGGGAACACAAGCAGGGGGAGTGGGAGAGAGAGAAGAAGGCTTCCCGCCGAGCAGGGAGCCCGATGCGGGGCTCGATCCCAGGACCCCGGGATCATGACCTGAGCCGAAGGCAGACGCTTAATGACTGAGCCACCCAGGCACCCCTCCAGTGCTTTAAGATATTTCAAGATAGTATATGGAAATCATAAAACACATGGTAGGCACTCAGTAAATGGTAACTGTTAAGAACGCTGTGTTGGTTGGGGGCGCCTGGGTGGCTCAGTTGGTTAAGCGACTGCCTTCGGCTCAGGTCATGATCCTGGAGTCCCGGGATCGAGTCCCGGGATCGAGTCCCGCATCGGGCTCCCTGCTCGGCAGGGACTCTGCTTCTCCCTCGGACCCTCCCCCCTCTCATGTACTCTCATTCTCTCTGTCTCAAATAAATAAATAAAAAAAAAAATCTAAAAAAAAAAGAACGCTGTGTTGGATTGTATTTTCTAAATATGGTCATAACAGTCTTTCCCACCCCATATATTCTTTTAGAACCTTGCCACTCCCCCAAGAGGGGAGGTGAGGACTATGCTCCCTCCCCTTGAACCTGGATGGGCTTTTGTGACTGCCTTGACTAGAAGAGTATGGAGGAAGCGATGCTCTGAGTCTTCTGATGCTAGATCAGAAAAGGTCTCTCTCTCTCCACTTTCTCTGGCGCCCCGAGCCTCCACGTGAGAAGTCTGGCTACTGGAAGCCACCATGCAGGAGAGTCCACAGAGCAAATATCTATATATCTCATGATATAGAGACAGTATGGCGGTTGAGGAGCCCTGCCGTTCAGCCATCAGCTCTTGGAGTCTTCTCAGCCCGGGTGCCAGACACACGAGCGAACCTTCAGGGGGTTCTAGCCCCACTCACCACCTAACTACAGAGGGGACCCTAAGGGAGAATCCCCAGGTCTATGAGGTAATAATAAATTATTGTTGTTTTAAGCCACTAACTTTAGGGATGATTTGTTATGTCTCAATAGCTGATACAACATTTAATATTTGTCAAGTACTGACTGAGTCAAGCACTGTGCTAGGTACTTGATGGAGATTACCTCATTTAATCCTGACTATTCCTCTGAGATAAGCATTTTCACTCACCCTCCGAGAAGTCAAGTGATCTGTCCAAGGTCACCTGACAGTGGATGACAGTCTGATCTGGGGTCTAAGCTCCCAACCACCAAGACCTGCACATGCAGCGTTCCCTTTGTTCATGACTTTTCTGCTGGGTAGTAGCATCTCCTCTGACCTCACGCACATGCGCTCTGTCACCCAGCAGCAGAGAAGTAGAGCATGTGAGCAGAGGCGGGGCCAGTGGGGCCTCACAGATCCAAGATGATCACTTCCAGCCAGGGCCTCAACCCCAATGCTATAGTTTTGTCCCTTTAGCTTTCAGACTGTGTATGGTGTTTTAAAAAATCCTCAGTGGTGGTGGCATTGGTGGGTGGAGACCTATTATATCATATTAGTCATTTATACTCAATGAGACTGAGTTTATAGGAAGCTTTCCGGTTGGAAGATATTAATGGCAGCTGGGGGTAAGGGAGGGAGAGAAAAAGAAGGAAGGAAGGGAGAGAGGGAAGGAAGGAAAGAAATAGAACAGTGAAAACGTGGAACAGACACCACCCAAAAGGAAAAGCGTTCAGAGATTGGTGTGCCAGAGACAAAGATTCATTCCTGTATGAATGTATTTATTCATTGTCATTCAAAAATTGTATTGAATGTCCACAACATGCCCGGCTGAACATTAGATGCAAGGCATGGATATTTCCTACCCTCAGCTCATAGGAATAGAGATGCTTACAATGTATTACCGGAACCCTTACTCCTCGATAGGCAGAAAGATCAGGGAAGGCTTCCTGGAGCAGATGACAGCTGACCTGAGGCTTAAAGAACAGCAGTTCACCAGGCTGACAGGAGGTGGAAAGTATTAAGTGGAGGGAACAGCATGAACAAGGGCATGGAATGGTATATGTGGGGGCCATGAGCAGTTCTGAGGTACTAGAAGGTAATGTGCAAGTCAGGTTGTGCTGAGAGATGAGCCTGGCTTGCAGGTCACAGAGAGGGCTGTGGCAGTCATTTACAGAGTTTAAATTTTGTCCTTGTGTGATGTGGAGCCGCTGAAATGTCTTCAGGGGCCTCCAAAAGACCACTGTTCACCAGCTCTCCCTCCTCACTTCTGACAAGTTCTGCCCAGCAGGGTTTGTTGTCCGAATTCTACAGATTGAAGACTGCCCTCCCCCTCTTAAAACCAAACTTGTTCAAATTCTAGTGGCAAAATCTATGGGGAAAATGACGTAGCAGGATGAGGAAAGTTTCCCCATGCTGGGGTAGCTGGCTTGGCTCCCTTTCCTCCTGAGGTGTGGGGGCTCGTGAGGGTAGGGTGGTGGCTTCAGGTGTCCATGGTCCCCTTCCTCAACGTTTCCTTCTTTGACTTCCTTTGGCAATACCCCAAATCACTCATTTGGCCCTTATCAAGTGCTCCCTTAAATGGTTAATTGATTTTTACTATATAAATACTAACTCTGGAACTAGACCATAAACTCCTTCAAGGTAGAAGTCTTGCTTTAAATATTTTGTGCCCCCATGTATCATTGGTTCAAAATGAGGTATGCCAGGTAAGGTTCTAGGGGCTGGGTAGGGAGAAAAGAGAGCGGGTCTACCTTCAGGGAGCTCACAGTCTGCCTGGGCAGATAGGTAAGTAGACAGAAGACGTAGGCTGTGTTTGCTCTGGGCTATGCACTCGTGGTTTGGGCCATCCTGGATCTCTCTCTCCACCTTTTCTCTTGAAAACCGTGTCCTACCCAAGAGGTTTTCTTCCCCCAACTTGAGAGGTGGCATCCAAGGTCTAGGCTGAAATCCTGTACTCATTTCCATGATTAGGCATGTGACCAAGGGGTTGGGCCCACTGAGGAGTCACGTGCCTGGTTTCCTGCTGAACTTGAACCTGGGAGGGAGGGGGGCAGGGACTACTCTAGCAGCACGCCTCCAGTGCCTGGGCCTGTAATGCTCCTTCAGCTCCAGGCAGTCTGAGCCCAATTCTCTATAGAAACCAAAAGAAAATAGAGAGAGGTATTATGAAAGAGGGGTGTTACGGGATCATATACAATTATGTGTCACAAACGTGTGTGTGTGTGTGAAAGAGAGACTGTGTGTGTGTGTGTGTGTGTGTGTGAAAGAGAGAGACTGTGTGTGTGTGTGTGTAATGGTTTCTGGAAGGAAGTGATGCCTGACCTGAATCTTGAAAGACTGTTAGGAATTAACCAAAGCTTTTCCAGACAGTGGCGGGCCTGTGCTTGCATCCTGCCATCAGAGTAGGTGAAATTTCAGAAGGCTTTAGGGCCTCTGCATTGTGTTCTAGTGCTTCCCCAAACATCTATGAAGGGAAAACGCTTTCAGAAGATGTTACTGGATAGGGGCGCTTGGGTGGCTCAGCCAGTTAAGCGTCTGCCTTTGGCTCAGATCATGATCCCAGGGGCCTGGGATGGAGCCCCACGTCAGGCTCCCTGCTCGTGGGGAGCCTGCTTCTCCCTCTCCCCCCTGCTCTCTCCCCTTCTCATTCCCCCCCCGTTCATGCTCTCTCCCCCCTGCTCATGCTCTCACATGCTCTCTGTCTCAAATAAATATATATTTTTAAAAAGATGTTACTGAATAGATGTGCAGAGAGAAAACTGAACAAAATTGCTCTCCTTTCAGCATTGCTGGTTTTCTCTGGGTCTTTAATATGTTAATGTGCATCCAACAACAGAATCCTTTGCAGAGCACAAATCATGCTCTCTGCGTCGAACAGTTTGGGAAAGTTTATAAAGTGCACTTTTCTATGAGGTGTGGAGTAATAAATCACTCAGTAACACTTAACATCCTGCCATCCTGGGTAATTGGTGACACTGTTCTAACACCAAATTACATTTTACCAAAGACAATATAGAAGTGATGAAGTGGGTAAACAACAGCATGATGGATTACTGGAGGCTTGTCAGTAGTTCCTGCATAATTCAGCCTTTCTTTGTGCTGCACATGAAGGGCACTCACGCAGGCATCATTCTGTAATTCCCTGGAATACAGTGTAGATGACCTGTATCGGTGGAATGCACCATGACAGTGGATGCATCCTGGCTCAGTTAGTGGAAACCTCCAAGAGGTGAGCCCATTTTTATTAATCATGCGACGGGCTTTCGCAGAGACCCAGCAAGAGATTGTGTAGAGGGACGGGCCATGGCAGGCTCAGCGAGTTGAGAGTTCATCCTCAGGGTAACAGGAAGCCTTCGGAGGCTCTTAACCAGTGGGGTGTGATGATCAGGTACACTTTAGAAGGCTCATTCACAGAGAGGATTTGAAGCGGGGGCTGATGCTAGAGACCAACTAGTTAGGAAGCTGTTCCAGTAATGGGGGAAGCCGTCATAGAGGGTCGAGCTGAGTGAGTGGTGATAGGAACGGAGAGAAGGCAGGGCCTGAGAGACATTTAGGAAGCAGAACTGGTTGACTTGGCTCTGGAGCAGCTGTGGGGACCGTGAGGAGGGAGGAGTGGGAGGACGACCCCGCGACTTCTGGCTCGTTCAGCGGTGTGGACAGCTGTGGCCCTACAGTTCGCAGTCTCGTAGAGAGGGAGCACTGCACAGTGGAGCTCAGTTTGAATCCTGCCTGTCAACTACTTAGCGCCGTGGCCTTGTGCAAGTCAGTGCGCATCTCTGTGCCTTGGTTTCTTCACCTGTAAAATGGGATGGTAGTACCGCTCTGCTGCCAGTATAAAATGGCACACGGCGTGCTCGGCGTGCTCGAGAAGTGGCAGCCATTGCTCCGGAGACAGGGAGCAGGGAGGAGAAGCGGTTTAGGGAGACAGGCAGTCTCATTCTAGAGACGTTGCCCTTGCGGTGACTTGGGCGGTTACGTGGGGGTGTCCAGGAGGATATGACCGATACGAGTTTGGGGCTCTGGAGGAAGGCCTGGGCTGCGCAGAGGAACGGGGGGCCATCACTCTTTTAGAATTCGACCAGGCCAGTAAAGGGCAACAGGCCGAGAGAGTCCAGACAGGGAGCGGAACGGAGGGCCGAACGGAGGGCGTGGGCAGCACCACCATTCGGGAACAGCAAAAAGGCACGTGCAGAAGCCCCTTACCCGTGCTCTCACTTCCGGCGGTTTCAGTTCCCCGCAGCCCGCCCCGCCCGCCGCAGATGATCCTCCTGACCAATCAGCACACGTCACTAGTAGCCTCACCCTGCGTCAGCACGCCTGCGTCGTTCACGTGACCTGATCGGCGCGGCTGGGCGGTCTGTCCTCTCACGTCCTCCCCAGGACAGGGGCGAGTACCTACGGTAAGCTATTCGGAGAGAGAGGCCACGTTCACGTAACTTTTATTACAGCATATTGTTGTAATTGTTCTCCTCTTTTGTTGTTAATGTCCTGCTGTGCCTGATTTACGCATGAAACTGCATCAGAGGTACGTGCATCCAGGAAACAACATGGTGTGTCTGGGGTTCGGTACTGTCCTCGGTTTCAGGCATCACTGCGGGTCTTGCAGTGTGTTCCCCCCGCTGATAAGGGGGGGCTACTGTAGCGATGAGGAATCGGAAGGAAGCGCAAACTGGAGTCAGAGGGCCTGGATTTGCGTCTCAGCTCCACTGCTTACTGGCTGTGTGATCCCAGGTAACCCACATAACCTTGCGGGCGTCAGTTTTCTCATCCCTAAAATGGGACTGCTACTGATAATAGCCATTTCCGGAGACTTTGGTGAACTAAAGTATGTGAGCTTGTTTTTTAAGCTAGAAAGCTTTATAAGTGGTTCCATTTAATCATTTTCCCCCCTCAGACTGAATCTAAGAACAAGGTAACTTTAACAGGCACTCTGTGACTCTGGCCTCACTTGCTTGGTAGGAGTTCCAGTCCACTTAAATTCCTCTCAAGCAGTTCAGAAATCGCTGG